CTGAAATGACTGTTTATTCTCTGGAAATCGAATCGCCTGATTGGACCACTCTCCCTTTTAAAACCGAACTTGTTAGAGTTAAAAACAGATAACCCTCATGATCAGGCCCAATCTACATCTGGCTCTGACTCCAGAAAAGAGGGAAGTGCTCATTGAACAAAATATACTCAAGAGAATTATGATCTGATAACGCTAGATTAAAGCGCTTCTGCGGGAGGGGTAATAGGAGATAATAAGCCCCAACACCCTACCTGCCGCTGAGGACCTTGGATATGGGCGCGCCAAATGACAGGCGGCGTTGCCCCTGGCTTCAGCGAGCGGTAGGAGCCCCTCCCCGGGTTTCCTCACAACTTTGGCGCCGTTGCCGGGGAGGGGAGCAGCACCCCTAAGGCCGCGGCCTTCCTCAACCAACGGGGGTGCACGGGCTGATTAGTCAAACACTAACTGGCTCGTTTTCTTGATTAGTTTTATTTTTTATAATCATTTTATTTAGTTTTTTTTCGATATCTCCCGATTCGCGCGTTTTTGCGCGAGGCGCCCTGGGAGCAAAGTTCGACCTCTCGTCGAGACAAACCTTTTGAGACGTTTTTTGAGAAATTCTAACGGCTCGAAAAAGAGATATGAAATTTTTTGTATTTTCTAATTGAAAATCCTAAAAATCATGAGTTTAAATATTTAATTCGTTTTTTTTCGATATCTCCCAATTCGCGCGATGCGCACTGACAGCAAAGTTCGACCTCTCGTCGAGGCGAACGTTTTGAGACGTTTTTCGAGAAATTCCAACAGCTAGAAAAAAAGATATGGAATTTTTTGTATTTTCTAATTGAAAATCTTAAAAATCATGAGTTTAGATATTTAATTCGTTTTTTTTCGATATCTCCCGATTCGTGCGTTTTTGCGCGAGGCGCACTGAGAGCAAAGTTCGACCTCTCGTCGAGGCAAACGTTTTGAGACGTTTTTTGAGAAATTCTAACAGCTAGAAAAATAGATCTGGAATTTTTTGTATTTTCTAATTGAAAATCTTAAAAATCATGAATTTAAATATTTAATTCGTTTTTTTTCGATATCTCCCAATTCGCTCGTTTTTGCGAGATGCGCACGAGGAGAAAAATTCGACCTCTCGTTGAGGCGAACGTTTTGAGACGCTTTTTGAGAAATTCTAACGGCTAAAAAAAGAGATATGGAATTTTTTGTATTTTCTAATTGAAAATCCTAAAAATCACGAGTTTAAATATTTAATTCGTTTTTTTTCGATATCTCCTGATTCGCGCATTTTTGCGCGAGGCGCACCGGGAGCAAAGTTCGACCTCTCGAAGAGGGGAACGTTTTGAGATATTTTTTTAAAACTTTTAATGGCTAGAAAAGGAGATATGAATTTTTTTGTATTTTTCTAATTAAAATTCCGAAAATCGTGAATTTCCTTGTATTTTAATTACGAAGAAAAAAAGCGAAATTAGGTGAACCTCAACCAGACCAAAGTTGATCCTTGTATTTTTCCCGACATTTTGAGACCTTAGTCGGGGAAAACGGACTCCGTTAGAACGAATGGTGACTGCCAACAGACAGGAAAAGAGGGAAGTTAAGAGGAATTAGTTTTTTTTTTAGTATTTTTATAAAAATAAAAAGGAATCAGAAGTCGGCAAAAGTGATCCGTTGGAACCTGACTTTTAACTGGCTATAAACCGACGGAAAATTTTCTGCCTCGAGAAGTTGAACGTGGTGGCGTGCGGTAGCGCGCAAAACCCTAAAACCCTAATTGGGGAAAACCCTAATTAGGGTAAGACCCTAACCCTAGGTTAGGGGAGGGCGGTGCGTAGCCGGGCGGATACAAGTCTTCCTATCCGACCGGTGATGAGAAAATTTTGTATAAATCTAGTTGACCAAATTGAAATTAATCAATATTGGAAATTTTGTTTTATTAAATAATTTAAGTTGTAAATTTGTTTTAAGTAATAATTTGTTATTTAAAATCAATTTAAAATCAAAATAACTATCTAAAATTCTACAAGAAAGGGGAGTCGACTTTATTTCGACTTTGTGATTCGGGTGATACTTCGCTTAACCCCATCCCAACGGGGGCGAAGCCAAGTGCTGCCGAAATTACTCGGCAATTTGTTGAATTTTATTCAATTAAATCTTAAATAATTAAAGAAAATACTTAAAAATTAGCTAAAAATTTCTTGTTAAACATCTTTCGTCCGCATTTTTGAGGTCTTCGGCCAAACCCTACCCCAACGGGGGGGGAACCAAAATGTAGCCGAAACTTCGCAAAATTGCCTAATTTAAATTATTAATTCCTTTTTATATGTATATATATCGTCAAATAGAACTGCCCGGTAAACCGTAGGGAGAGAGGGAGAAGAGGACAACAAACGAGGGGCTGTGACAAATTGTTTCGTCGGAGTTTCACCGACTCATCAAGAGGCTGAACCCTATATATATAGGGGATTCTACAGACTGTTGAGGGTTCAGCCTCCTGATGAGTCGGTGAAACTCCGACGAAACAGTTTGTCACAGCCCCTCGTTTGTTGTCCTCTTCTCCCTCTCTGCCTACGGTTTACCGGGCAGTTCTATTTGACGATATATATATATATATATTGAAAACGATTAGGGAAATTAATTAAAAATACGTTAAAAATTTGTTTCCTTAAGCGATTTTCCTCCTGTTTCATTTGGCTTTAGTTCTGGGTAGGTAGCATTTGTCTAGGGACAATAGTCCCGAACCCCATCCCAACGGGGGGAGGCGAAACGCTCCCGAAATTTTAGTAAAATCCCTAAAATTTTATTTCTACCCCTAAAAAAGCGTCAAACTCGGCGGGCTTATATAAGTATTGATCCTTAATGTATATGAAATAAGAAAGAAAAATTAACTTAACTAAATACATTTTCTTTAATTTATAATTAAAAAAAATACAAAAGAATTCCCTAGAAGGAGAAGGAAAAGAGACGCTGTGGTAACTTGGTTTCAAGTGATCCTACTAGCTTGTTCTCGAAGGCGTGAGAAAAGCGACGCGAAATTTCAGTTATTAATCTACACCTTCCGCTTGCCGCGCTCTCTCTAGCGGCCAGTTGAATGTGGCCGCGGGTGCAAGTAGAGGTCTATGGGGCTACCATTGACTGGGACTTAGAGCCCCCTGAACTCATAGAGGGGGATCTGGTCGAGCTCACGATCACCGGACGCAGCATTCGACACGCTGACAGCCAGTTTGCGTGGAGGTCCATAATCCTATCCGAGGACGTGTGGCTTTGGACGTACAGAGAGCATCGGCCGGGGCAAGGAGTGGGCGTAGTGAGAGCCTACTTATATTTGGGACCGGGTGCGGTCAGGGAGGCCGTGGTGGGCCTCGCGACGACAGGGACTAGTGACGCAGTTAGCAGGGCGCTACGCTACCCAGGGGAAGAGGTAGCTGCTTTCCAAGCGGAGGACGTGAGCGACCCGTTGACCCTATTTCACGAACGCCTTCCTCTTGATATCACGGGCGAGCTCGTAATAGCACGGGACGGATTTTTTTCGTACAGCGTTAGGAGCCTGCGGGCGATAGTTCCGACGTTTGTAGTAGAGAGCGTCTTTGGAGGTATTAGTGGAGCGGTCGAGACATACTTGGCCTATCAGGATCTCAAGATCCTGGCGAGAAGACCTGCCGACTTAGACTACATCTATTATTCGCTTGCGATCGGTGGGCCTCGTTGGGGAGACAAGAGGGTTCAACTTATAGAGCTGATCCGCTCGATAGACGACGAGTGGCCCCAGCCTTCGTGCGTTTGGGATTGGCTAGACCGTGAGCTCCGAGCAGGCCCCGAGTACGTGACYTGCATCGGGCGGCTCTTCTCAGACGACTGGGGGAGCTGGTGAAGTGAGGACGCCGGGCGACCTCTGATATACGGCCATCAGTTGATGGAATACTACCAGGCCATAGGACAGGCGCCACACCGCGTCGAGGACGAGTTTGACGACGAGGGTTGGGAGCGAGAAGACGACGAGGAGTGGGAGCCAGACTGGGTCGATCCAGTCTGGCGCTCATTTTCCCAGGATAGGAGCTAATAGGACAGGATGGGAGCGAGAAGACGTTATAGGCGCTCATTTTCCCAGGATAGGAGTAGCGGTCCGGGCCTAGGAGGTCGAGGAGCGCACCAGGGCGACGGATGAGTGAGCCTGGCTACTGAACCTATTCGACCATACTGTACCTGAGTGCGAGAGTTGTCGGAAGGGTTAGCAACGTCGGAAGATGGGGTGCATCGGAGGGAGTAGAGTGAAGCTGACCGAGAGTAGGAGAAGAAATGAGAAGTGATTCAGCGGCCTGGTTAGCTTGTGTATTATCATGAGAGTCCGAATCGTATAGTGTGAGGAAGCTTGTGAGACCCAGAGAGACGGCGGTTGGATACGACATACCACTTCCTGTGGCGCTAGAAGAGGCAGGGCGTGTACCGATTCGATACTTGGGAACGTGGCTCGTAGAGGGGCTCTTCCTATGGACAGTGATAATACGTGACGAATGACCCGAGATGACTCATGAGCTAGAAGGGGTCGGACATCTAATAGCGGATAGAACACACAATTTAGAGATAGGGCTAACGCTCGCAGGGGCGAGCAGGAGTTGGTGGAGAAGCAAGTTGTTGGCCAAAGTGATCGTTAATCAGCAATTGGCGAAACTCTCTGGAGGGAGGACGAGTAGGAGCTGCTTGGTATTCGGTCCACCACATCCGACCCTCTACCCGAGAAAGGATTGGCGATTCGGAGTACCTACCTTCGTGATAGGGCAGACCTATGGGAGCGTGGATCGTTTGAGGAGAGCAGTGGATAACACACTTTACGCGCTCTGGGAGGGCTTAGCGCCCCGCTTCAAGGAAGTATACTACGCCGTTTGTGTGAGGTGGGGGCCGCCGAGTAGAGAGACGCTTGACGACATCATAGATGTTACGAGCTGGGTAGATTGTCGGGGGCCTATCGATCTGATTAGGTACTGCAGAAGACGGGCAGAGATCGATTACGCAGGGCTAGAGGACGCGAGATTTCTCTTCGAGGCCGCAGCTTAGGGAATGCCGGGAAGGACGACCACGGTGATGCGTGTAGAAGAGCAAGTGGTAAGTGCAGGATACACTGTGACAGTACTTCTCCGAGCGTACGTAGACGAGGACTTGACAGCGAGTGAGTGCAGACAACGGGCTAGGGATTTGATCGACGAGCGCAGAGCTGATGTACTGGCACGGGTGACCTTCCAGACCTCGATTTCCTATGATGTGATGATATGGTCTCATGGTTATATGCGCGCGGAGAACTACCACGATGAGACGGTAGCGGAGGCTAGAGCGAGGGTGAGAGGGTGAGCTGGAAAAAGATGTGGACTGAGAATGGAAGAGGAGAGTGAGGCAGTTGGAAGAGTGAGAAAGCGCGTTAAGGAACCACTCTTGAACCACGTAAATAAGTTGGGGGACAAGTTAAGGGAGATTTGGTCGTGTCAAGACGAGGGCAAGTTGCGAAGGGCTGAACTCGTGACAAGAGAGTTAGACAATCTGTTTAGGGAAGAAAGAGAGATTATCCAGGCGTGGAGATCAGACTTTCTGGAGAGGGTAAAGGCTAGATGCGTATCACGCGAAGAAACTAGTAAGCGATCTGCAGAAAGCGAGACAACGGAAGACAAGGTTACGCAGGGAAGTAGCGACGGGACATGAGCGGGACTACATTACACACGACGGATTGGTACTCATTACATGTGGTAGGGAGACTGGATGGACCATTAGTGTTAGTGATCATCCAGCTCCATACCAGACTGTGCATAATTGAGGAGACAGAGTGTTTTCGCCGTGCCCTGCGTGAGGCAAGGGGGACAGGACTTTGGATTGGAATAGAAGGAGGACGAAGGATAAAATACGTACTCCGAGTAACACCCTTCGAAGGGCGGTCTCGGATAAGGGCATGGTACGAGACGACCAGAGAGGCTGAGAGGTTGAAGATAAATGAAGCCAGGAAAGCTGGAGAGTTAGGGAGAGTAGTAAAAGATGGTGCAATACTCAGGGTGTTAGCCGCTCACGACCGGTACTGGAAGGAAACGATGAAGACTTTAGAGGCGATAGACGAAGGGGGAGATAATGAGGACTTTGAGACATTTTATGACATATTGGAGCGGNCAAGTTAAGGGAGATTTGGTCGTGTCAAGACGAGGGCAAGTTGCGAAGGGCTGAACTCGTGACAAGAGAGTTAGACAATCTGTTTAGGGAAGAAAGAGAGATTATCCAGGCGTGGAGATCAGACTTTCTGGAGAGGGTAAAGGCTAGATGCGTATCACGCGAAGAAACTAGTAAGCGATCTGCAGAAAGCGAGACAACGGAAGACAAGGTTACGCAGGGAAGTAGCGACGGGACATGAGCGGGACTACATTACACACGACGGATTGGTACTCATTACATGTGGTAGGGAGACTGGATGGACCATTAGTGTTAGTGATCATCCAGCTCCATACCAGACTGTGCATAATTGAGGAGACAGAGTGTTTTCGCCGTGCCCTGCGTGAGGCAAGGGGGACAGGACTTTGGATTGGAATAGAAGGAGGACGAAGGATAAAATACGTACTCCGAGTAACACCCTTCGAAGGGCGGTCTCGGATAAGGGCATGGTACGAGACGACCAGAGAGGCTGAGAGGTTGAAGATAAATGAAGCCAGGAAAGCTGGAGAGTTAGGGAGAGTAGTAAAAGATGGTGCAATACTCAGGGTGTTAGCCGCTCACGACCGGTACTGGAAGGAAACGATGAAGACTTTAGAGGCGATAGACGAAGGGGGAGATAATGAGGACTTTGAGACATTTTATGACATATTGGAGCGGTCGGCGATGAGGTTACAAGTCGTTATAGCACTAACTTACCTCAGCTGTTAAACAGATGACCTCGTAACCGTTGAGGAGATAAGGTACTTGGAAATAGAAATTGGAAGCTCTTGGAAGGATAGAGGAAGCTAGAAAGGTCGATAGGCGACATTGGGCGACAGTAGGAGGGCCTTTAGCGGGCTAACCGATTCAGACTGGGCTAGGAGAACTAGCAAGGAGGACGGAGAAAGACGCTTAGGGACTCTTGAGAAGTGTTGATCAGGAAACATTGGCTAGGTTTGGGATTGCAATCTGTCTCAAGGATAGAGGTCCTGTCATGGGCGTACTGTGGATCCGGACAGGCACGGCCTTGTTGACTGATCACGAAGGAGAGGTAACTTAGACACAGGGATTATTGGGATAGAGAGAGAATACGAGATCTGCGACCGGAACGGGATACTGGAGGTGGTAATCAAGGCAGTCGAGGGCTAAGATTGGAGGCGGACATGAGTCGTGACAAAGAAAGAGGTCCGGACTGCCTCGACTGTCACAGGTCCGGGCTGCCGCGACAGTCACAGGCCCGGGCTGCAGCGACTGGGGTTGTAACAGTTGGCAAAGAAACTTAACTGCGTCTTCAGGCGGTCCAATGGAACCCGACACGATGGCGCCACAACCGACCGTGAGCGAAGCGCGAGAGGAGTATAGGACATCGCCCGACCGAGCTCTGAGAGAACTGAAGGAACGAATTAGGCAAGAAGCACCGCTGAGATGGGTGTACCAAACCAATGACGGAGGGCCCGACGTAAGAGGCGAACCAGTTGCAACAGAGCCGTAGGAGGTTCTAAGGACGGGTACCTCGAGCGGGCGATGAGAAACGACGAGACGACGCTCCCCCGAGTACGAGCGGAGGGACACCATAGCGGATAGGCACAGAGACGACTGGAGAGAGAGTTTGAGAGATTCCTGTTGGAGGGACAGAGATAGAGACAGGGCGCCGCCCAGGCGAGTCTTCGACCCGCAGACAGGGGAGTCACATCCGGTCCCTTACGAGAGCAAGGATCGCTATATTATTACGCACAAGGCCTCAGAGCCTCCTACTTTTAGGGGTTATGGTATCACAGAATATCTGGAAAAGTGGGAGCTTCACGCCAGCCGGAGTCAGTGGTCGGAGGAAGAGATTATAGAGAACTTCCTATTCAATGTCGACCCAAGTCTTGGAAGGGAAGTTAAGGAAGCTCGACCGAAGAATGGGAAATGGACTACGTACAAGAAGAATCTCATTGAGCTTTACAAATTGGAGGATAACAAGTATTCCATCAAGGACCTTGAAACAATGACTCAAGATGAAGATGAGAGCGTACGGGCATTTGGGATGCGTTTCCAAGAGATCTCCGACGTGCTGATGAAGAAGGGAAAGATCTCAGAGGTCGAGCGCTGTACTATCTTCATCGGACACTTGTCCAAAGGGTGGCAAAAGAGTATACTTAGAGATCTTCTGCGTGACAGGCTTGATTTCCCAGAAGTTCTAAAGCTCGCGATAAAGGCAGAGGCAGACGATTACAAGGACTTGGTGTGGAGAGGGATGAGGAGACGTGACTTCTCTCTCTACAAGGAGTATGCCACTGATAGATGTCATGATTTCAAGGACTATCCCTGGTCGGAGAAGAATGAGGCCGTGGCTGAGGAAGTGAAGAAGATATGGGACATGGTGAAGGGATTAACGAGACAGGTTACAGAGATTGTGACCGCTACAGGGGCCACGGCCTACCGGGACAAACCTGGAGGGCCCTATTCACTTCGTTGGGACCKTAGGAACAACGATCCCTGGAGGAGTGTCGAGGATAGAAATCCTCGGACGCTGACTGATTATCGAACGAGGGGAAGAGAGAGAGACGATGAGCCATGACGACGTAAGGACGATGAGATAGACCGAGACCGCAGAGACCGCGAGCCGTTTGTGCAAGCAAGGAGGCTGGATGATTACCCGCGAAGCCCTCGCTATGAGGCCGATCAGGGTAGAGGCGACTCCCGCGGCCGATAGGAGACAGAACAGAGTCGACGAGATGGATATAGGGACAACAGATATGAGAGATCGGACCGAGATGGATATAGGGACGACAGATACGAGAGGTCGGGTCGAGATGGCTACAGAGGAAGTAGATATGAGAGAGGAGATCGGGAATGGGAACGACAAGATGGGTCGCGCGGATGGTTTGCGCGCGGGGGAGATGCGAGAGAGCACCACGACGAGTCGCGGGGGTGGTACAACCGAGGGGACCGACGCGATGAGTCACGAGGACGATATAACTCGGGGGACCGCGGGCGGTATGACCAAGGAGGGTTTGGAGGAGACCGGCGCAACGATCCGCGCGGTCGGAATGAGAGAGGGGGATATGGCGTCTCATCAGAACCATATCCAAAGTCGCCTGACCCCAAGGCGGCCAGGAATTCGATTTCTAGAGGTGCAGACGACAAGGCATCTACTCCCAGGAACTCATGCGTCTACTGTAGAGGAGAAGATCATATCAAGAGGGATTGCCCGGACCTCAAACGGGCAATAGAAGAGGGACTTGTCGTGCTTGACGACCTCAAATACGTCAAGTGGGCAGATGATTTCGGAGATGTATCGATGTTCCCTTCGATGAAGGAGAATGTTGAAGCAAGGAGAATAAAGACGAGTAAAGGAATGGAGCCGGTCGGGAGCCAGAGCATCAAGATAACCTTTGAGGGGAACATGGAGACCACACCCACAAGGGTGGGAGCCACCAAGTCGGCGAAAGCGTTTACATCGAAGAGAACTGACACGGATTACGTGATGGCGGAGAAGGACGGGCAGCGGGTCGATGGAGAAGAGGTTATCCTTTCGCCGCGAAAGCGGGGAGTCAAGAAGTTCTTAATGAAGAGTTCGTTGGACGAGATTGACACGGTTGAGGCACTAGGCGGGCCCTTCGGCAACCTATGCAGTGCTCTATTCTGGAGTACCTGGCTGCATCGAAGCCGGCTCGTGATGAGTTACAGATGATCACGCGGAAGACTCGCATACCTCTATCGGAGGAGGGTCAGGGGGACCCTAAGACGGAAGTTTCTACAGTAACAATAACGGGGGTGACTGCCAGAGCGGATCGCATGGTGACCGTCCTTCTCGATGGAATGGAAGGTGTGCCTCCAGACAAGTTTTATATACTTGGTAGCGGAGCCGTGGAGACGATTATAAACGATGGAGCGGTAATCGATGCTGTGATTGATAACGGCAGTGAGGCTGTCATCATAGACGAGGACCTGGCGGTACAAGTNCCATCAAGGACCTTGAAACAATGACTCAAGATGAAGATGAGAGCGTACGGGCATTTGGGATGCGTTTCCAAGAGATCTCCGACGTGCTGATGAAGAAGGGAAAGATCTCAGAGGTCGAGCGCTGTACTATCTTCATCGGACACTTGTCCAAAGGGTGGCAAAAGAGTATACTTAGAGATCTTCTGCGTGACAGGCTTGATTTCCCAGAAGTTCTAAAGCTCGCGATAAAGGCAGAGGCAGACGATTACAAGGACTTGGTGTGGAGAGGGATGAGGAGACGTGACTTCTCTCTCTACAAGGAGTATGCCACTGATAGATGTCATGATTTCAAGGACTATCCCTGGTCGGAGAAGAATGAGGCCGTGGCTGAGGAAGTGAAGAAGATATGGGACATGGTGAAGGGATTAACGAGACAGGTTACAGAGATTGTGACCGCTACAGGGGCCACGGCCTACCGGGACAAACCTGGAGGGCCCTATTCACTTCGTTGGGACCKTAGGAACAACGATCCCTGGAGGAGTGTCGAGGATAGAAATCCTCGGACGCTGACTGATTATCGAACGAGGGGAAGAGAGAGAGACGATGAGCCATGACGACGTAAGGACGATGAGATAGACCGAGACCGCAGAGACCGCGAGCCGTTTGTGCAAGCAAGGAGGCTGGATGATTACCCGCGAAGCCCTCGCTATGAGGCCGATCAGGGTAGAGGCGACTCCCGCGGCCGATAGGAGACAGAACAGAGTCGACGAGATGGATATAGGGACAACAGATATGAGAGATCGGACCGAGATGGATATAGGGACGACAGATACGAGAGGTCGGGTCGAGATGGCTACAGAGGAAGTAGATATGAGAGAGGAGATCGGGAATGGGAACGACAAGATGGGTCGCGCGGATGGTTTGCGCGCGGGGGAGATGCGAGAGAGCACCACGACGAGTCGCGGGGGTGGTACAACCGAGGGGACCGACGCGATGAGTCACGAGGACGATATAACTCGGGGGACCGCGGGCGGTATGACCAAGGAGGGTTTGGAGGAGACCGGCGCAACGATCCGCGCGGTCGGAATGAGAGAGGGGGATATGGCGTCTCATCAGAACCATATCCAAAGTCGCCTGACCCCAAGGCGGCCAGGAATTCGATTTCTAGAGGTGCAGACGACAAGGCATCTACTCCCAGGAACTCATGCGTCTACTGTAGAGGAGAAGATCATATCAAGAGGGATTGCCCGGACCTCAAACGGGCAATAGAAGAGGGACTTGTCGTGCTTGACGACCTCAAATACGTCAAGTGGGCAGATGATTTCGGAGATGTATCGATGTTCCCTTCGATGAAGGAGAATGTTGAAGCAAGGAGAATAAAGACGAGTAAAGGAATGGAGCCGGTCGGGAGCCAGAGCATCAAGATAACCTTTGAGGGGAACATGGAGACCACACCCACAAGGGTGGGAGCCACCAAGTCGGCGAAAGCGTTTACATCGAAGAGAACTGACACGGATTACGTGATGGCGGAGAAGGACGGGCAGCGGGTCGATGGAGAAGAGGTTATCCTTTCGCCGCGAAAGCGGGGAGTCAAGAAGTTCTTAATGAAGAGTTCGTTGGACGAGATTGACACGGTTGAGGCACTAGGCGGGCCCTTCGGCAACCTATGCAGTGCTCTATTCTGGAGTACCTGGCTGCATCGAAGCCGGCTCGTGATGAGTTACAGATGATCACGCGGAAGACTCGCATACCTCTATCGGAGGAGGGTCAGGGGGACCCTAAGACGGAAGTTTCTACAGTAACAATAACGGGGGTGACTGCCAGAGCGGATCGCATGGTGACCGTCCTTCTCGATGGAATGGAAGGTGTGCCTCCAGACAAGTTTTATATACTTGGTAGCGGAGCCGTGGAGACGATTATAAACGATGGAGCGGTAATCGATGCTGTGATTGATAACGGCAGTGAGGCTGTCATCATAGACGAGGACCTGGCGGTACAAGTCGAACTGGGCCTCGATAGGTCATACCTATTCGAGATAGAGACGGTTGATGGGAGAAAGCAACGGATCACTGGAGTTTGTCACAAGGCAGCCATAGAGGTCCAAGGGGTACGAGTGACCCTGCCTGTCTTTGCAGTCAAAAACTCCAGCTCCGACCTGCTCTTGGGTCGAACGTGGCTGAGCCACGTGCATGCGGTGACGATAGAGCGACCTGATGGGAGCCAAACATTGTCCATTAAGAAGCCAGACGGGACGCGGGTAATGATTGAGACAGTGGAGCCTCGGGACCCGAGGAACAGAGCAGCTCTCGCTGTGGGTGCAAGACCCAGTGATCAGATTAAGTCTTTACCCATCTCCGGCCGCGCGGTGCGATTTCGCGAGAAGAGATATGGACCACTGCTCACAGAGGAAGAAGGWAGGATGRTGGAGGYAGAAGATTTAGGAAGCCGGCTAATAGTGGACGGCAACTCGTACCCGAAGGGAAAAGATGAGGAATTTGGCGGTGTGGTATCCGTGTCTTTTTTAAGGCCACGGCCCCCTATGGGAAACTCCTTAAGCGACACAAGCGAGTAGCTCAAAAAGTTAAGCCAACGGCGGTGGGTTGCGAGCGATCGACACTGGAAGGGGTATCAGAAGAAGAGATCGCGAAAGAAATCAAAGAAAGAAAGAAAAACGAGCCGCAACGCCTAACAGAAGAGAGGATAGCAGGGATGGACATCGGAGATGGAAATTTGACCCCAAAGGAGCGAGAACGTGTGATAGAAATCCTGAAGACATGTGATAAGGCCATAGCTTTCAGCGACGCGGAGCGCGGTAGGATTGACCCTCAATACGCTAAGCCAGCAAGGATTTACACGATACCACATGTTCCCTGGAACGACGCGGGATGGAAATACGCCCAGAAGGAGAAGGAAGAAGTTATCGCTTTCCTGAAAAAAAAGATGATTTCCCACGTTGCGGAGCCGTCTGATAGCGCTTATGCTAATCGATGGTTCTTCCTACGAAAGTCGAATGGCAAGATTCGATGGATCCAGGACCTTCAGAAGGTCAACACGGTGACGATACGAGACGTGGGCTCTGTGCCACACGCCGATTTACTGGCAGAAGGCGCAGCAGGAAGGTCGATCTATTCGGTCTGTGATGTGTTCTCAGGCTATGATGAGGTACCGCTTGACCCTAGGGACAGGCACCTCACGGCTATGCATACGCCATTGGGACTAATTCAAATGATGGTTGTCCCAATGGGTTGGACTAATGGGGTAACCGTTTTTCAGAGAGCCATGGTAGTCGTCCTGAAGGACTTCATCCCTGATAAGGTTGAAGTTTTTCTGGATGACTTTCCTATTAAAGGGTCAGTAGACAGGGATGAGACAGAGGTTGTACCTGGAGTTAGGAGATTCGTCGAGCAGCACCTAACCGATATTTGCGCGGTCCTCGAGCAGTTGCACGATGCGAATTTAACAGTCAGTGGAACAAAGAGCCGATGGGCCGTCTCGACTATTAAGATCTTGGGCTTTATCTGTGACTCGAGAGGACGCCGAGCAGATCCGGCAAAGTTAGACAAACTCCTGAACTGGCTGTTACGGTTACATAGCCCAACCGGGGTCCGGCAGTTTCTGGGAGTGGTTGGTTACTGGCGTATATTCATACGGGGGTATGCGGAGAAGGCTGAGCCATTGAGGTTACTCCTTCGAAAGACTGAGAACTTCTATTGGAATTCTTCGCAGGAACTTGCTATGCAAGAACTTAAAGACGAATTTAAGGAAGGAGGACGCGTGTTGGGTGTGTCATTCTTTGACAATGAGACCGAGAGACCCTTCATAGTATCCACG